TAGACAAATGGCCCTAGGAGGACTGAGGTCTAAAACAACTGAAGGCTGCACCTTGGACCGGACAAATACCAGACAGTCCTCTCCAGCCGCCTCTGTTAATGGTTCCATCCATTATTGAACATGCCTTTTTGAGGACACATGGGTTGGAGAGATTGGGAAAGATATTGTAACACTGTGACTTCTAACGTCTTTGTGAGAGCTTGCAAAGGGGCATAGTCTCTTCCTAACACACATGGTGCAAGTAAGAAACTGCCATCCTCTAGCCCTAGCCGGTTTGGCTCAGTGGATAGAGTGTCAGCCTGTGGACTGAAGCGTCCTGGGTTTGATTCTGGTCAAGGGCATGTACCTTGGTTTCGGGCACATCCCCAGTAGGGAGTATGCAAGAGGCAACTGATTGTTGTTTCTGACTCTATCCCTCTCCCTTCCTCCCTGTAAAAAAATCAATAAAATATATTTAAAAAAAAAGAAACTGCCATCCCTAGGAGCTTTTCTTTTCTCTCTTTTCTATAGTGACTCTAAGAAGCCATGGTCATGAAGGAAGGAGGCATGGGGCTGGAATTGGGACCATGTAAGGAAACTGAAGCTCGCAAGTGAACAGATTGCATTGTGACAGGTTGTACGTGATTTCTCCTTCTGAAAGGGTCAGCAATCCGTTGGAACAAAAGAAGAGTTAGTTTGTCGAAGCCTAACACAGACCCGCTGCCCATCACTCCTCTTGTCCTTTCATCTGCTCATTCCTTCCTCCCACAGATGAGCACTGGTGGAGGGCACTGTGCGGAGACCTGGCGACGGTCTCTGCCTTCGGAGAGCTTTGGGTTTTGTAGGGGACCCAGTGCACAAACGACAGGGAGGGAAGTGCTGCAGCAGGAGCCTGAATGATACAGACAGAGTCTTCAATAGATGTGTGGATGGAAAGGAGGAAATGCTCACTTGGGTTGGGAGGAGGGGAGCAAGGAGAGGATTTCTACCAGGTTTAAGTGGGGATTGTGGCTAAGGCTCTCCTTCACTCTCTCCTGTGAGATCTGAAGGCAATCAAACTCAAACCCAAATGCCCAGCCAGGAAACAGTTCCTCCAGGTCTTCTCCCATCTTCTGTTTGCCCCTGGCTATTTCACTGCTCCTTAGTACTGCCCTTAAAGAGATAAAGTGGAAGTGAAATTTGTTTATTTTGCTTCTACTGAGAAGTTAGGGGAAACAAATTAGTGGAGGAGAGGTAACAAAAAAATAAAGCACACCATTTTTATTAAGTGAAATTGCTTTGTTTAATGATTTCTTTGAGTCTAAAGTTATTTTCTATTTTTATTTATTTATTTATTTATTTATTTTTGCTTATGGAATGTTGCAATGATACAGATATTAATAAATAAAATGAAAACCCCCTCCACCCTACCTCACCCATTCTCCAGGGCCAGCACTGTTAGCAGTTTGATGAGCACCTTTCTGGATTTTTAAATCTACATTTAAATCCACAACTATATTTTAAAACAAAAATGAGATTTTGTCATCCATATTGATATACATATCATCAACCATGTGCCTTTCTCTACCAACCCTCTCCCCAACTCACTATATCATGAACTTTCTTAGGACTATTTTTCAAAGGAAATGTCATCATATGATGCAGAAGAATACTGTTCAATCTGTAGATATAGCTTTGAGTCAATAGGAAAATCAAGATAGGTCAAAAGTCCCCTCCATCAGAGGCCTTCTCTGATCAACTCTACTTGGACTTTTCTGGTCCGTCCTCTCCTCTGAAACATCAGTAGTTTTGCATATTGTTTCCATATGATATCTGCCTCCTGCTTGTAAACATATTCTTTTGTCTTATACAAAGCTCTTTTGATTGCAAAGATCAAAGTCCCCACTGTGTAAGAATACATGTGAACTGGAAAACTCAACCGATGGACTGGTCTTTCTTGCATCTTCCTGTTGATTTGTTCCAGTTGTCTTTCTGTCTACCAACTCTTCTATTTCCTCACCATTTGGCTTCTACTTGTTCATTCATTCATTCATTCATTCATTCATTGGTTCATTCATTCACTCAGTAAGTAGTTACCGAATATCACTGGCATGCTAGAAGTGGTTCATACAGTTTGGGCTGTTCCAATCTTAACTTGATGAAAGTCATGGGCTCTTTTAATTCCACTTATTAAATTCTCCCATGTTTCTTAGTTGTTCAAATTCCTAAGGAAAAATGATTGGCCCAGTGTGTGCCAGGCCCATACTTAGATGTCCGGACATTCCATGGCCCAGAGCCTATTCATCCTGATGTGGCCGGAGAAAGCTCTCCACAGACCTAACCTGCCCGGCTCACTCTGTAAATGTCCTCAGGCCTTACCTGCGCATTCGTGTCATCTCCCCACCCAGAGCGGAAGTCAATACTAACTGTGTGGCTACCATGACCTGCACGCAATAAGTTTTCAATGAACTATGTTAACAATCTTCCCTTTGCATGGAGCTGGGCTCCTGGTGGGCAGTGGGGGAGAATAAACCTTTCTCCCACTCAGGAAAGCACAGCTAATTTTCACAGCACCTCGCATGGCAGAGAGCAGCAGATCTCATCACAGGCATGTTCACACTCTTGGGTGGTTTTTGAAAGTAAACATGGAGAGCGATCGGGAACTAGAGGAGGATTTATAGTTAAAAAATATAAAGTGAGTGTCAATGTTAATTCCCATACATGGAAATAAAATGTAAGCATTAATATGTAATTACAGACCTGGGCAGTTTCTTTTCCCTGGAGCCATGATATTTTCATTCAACTACTGTCTTCAAATGACCAGGTGATAATTCCTATTAATACACAAAGTGTGTATAAGAAATTGTAATACAATATAGCATTGATGATTCAAGACCGAGGGTTAAGTTAACAGAGGGTTAACCTAATTTGTGCTAGTATAATTTATTTTTATGTTAATCCTCACCTGAGGATATATATATTTTAATATATTTTATTGATTTTTTACAGAGAGGAAGGGAGAGAGATAGAGAGTTAGAAACATCAATGAGAGAGAAACATCGATCAGCTGCCTCCTGCACACCCCCTACTGGGGATGTGCCCACAACCAAGATACATGCCCTTGACAGGAATAGAACTTGGGACGCTCTATTCATTGAGCCAAATTGATTTTGGTCACCTGAAGATATTTTTTTTCCCATTGATTTTCAGAGAGAGTGGAAGGGAAGGAGAGAGAGAGAGAGAAAAAGAGAGAGAGAGAGAGAGAGAGAGAGAGAGAGAGAGAGAGAGAGAGAGAGAGAGAGAAGAAGAAGAAGAAGAAGAAGAAGAAGAAGAAGAAGAAGAAGAAGAGAAAAAGAAGAAGAAGAAGAAGAAGAAGAAGAAGAAGAAGAAGAAGAAGAAGAAGAAGAGGAAGAGGAAGAAGAAGAGGAAGAAGAAGAAGAAGAGGAAGAAGAAGAAGAAGAAGAAGAAGAAGAAGAAGAAGAAGAAGAAGAAGAAGAAGAAGAAGAAAAATGATGTGAGAAAGACACATCAATTGGTTGCCTTCCACACGCTCCTGGACTGGGGCCAGTGATGGACCTGCAACCCTTCAGATAGGTTGAGGTCCTGGCTGACTCATCCTGCAGTGGGAGGGCAGCAGGTGCGACCTCTCAGAGCCACCACCAGAACCCGGGTCCATCTGAGAGCCAGACAGTGCAGGGCCCCACCTGCGAAGGGCCTTGGGACGGAGGAGCCGAGAGGAATATTGGCTTGCACCAGGCTGACAGCAGGTACACAGAGCCATCTGAAGAGCAAACATGTGGGAGGACTGGAGAGCTTGTCTGGGTGCAGTGCTCTCAGCACTCCCGCGCCATGTGTTTGAGGACGCTCTCATCTCTCACCAGGCTCCTCCATTGCTCCCAGCTGGCTTCCTGCCTCCAGATTAGTGTTGCTCCTGCCCTTCCTCCACACCTGCACTCCTCCCCTTTCCAGATGATTAAGTGACTCCTCTTCAGAAAAACATTGCCTACACACACACACACACACACACACACACACACACACACACCCCAAATCCTTTATGGGACATTTACGTCTGACTCCAGCTGACTTTTCTGACATCACCTTCCCATTTCCTGCGGCCACACTGGACTCTGTAACCCATTCCAGCCACTTTGCTCCTTTTTACTGCCTGAAATGTCACTGCCACCCAACACCTGCCACCCATCCTCCTTGTCCTGCTCGTTCCCTCCCCTTCCCACAGCCCAAAGAGGAAGTTCTCTTCTGGGTTACCATAGCATTTACGTTATGATTCTGACCTCAGCTACTTTTTGTTGCCCGGGGGTTTGTTTTCTCCTGTGGACTGTGAGCATTTTCAGGGCAGGTACCTCTGTCACTCATTCATCCTCACACCCCATCGCCTCACAAAGTGCTCACCACAGGTGCTATGGAAGGATAGTCAGGGAAACAATTGTATGTTAAGCATATGATACACTTTTGGGCTAGATGTAAATAGCTCTTAAACTTAGTGTCAATCCCGATAATAGGTTTGTATTGCCATGTTATTTTCCTGGCCAACAAAATAAAAATAAAGTATAAAAATAAATACATAGCAATTTGTGTGTAAGAACAAGTAAACAATTGAAGTACCAGGAAGAAGTCTGGTTAGAAAGCAGAATAAATCCAAGCGCCCTTTGCAAGCACACTGAAGAAAAATGAGGTGTCATTTTCCAAAATGAAGACTCGGGTTTTGGATAGTTTGCTTTGCCTGCCTGTATTTGCTTAGATATAAAAATAGGGGATAGGATTCCCTTTTAACTTTAAAGTTATATTCTTCTGATGATTCTACTTCACAAGTGTTGTTCCACAACCATTTTTGTGCTCAAAGGAGCAATAAATGCTCCATGAAGATGCCTCTTTTTTTCACAGGGCTTCACAGCATGTTCTGAAGTCCATCTGACTTCTAATAACAGATGTGCAAACACTCGAGGTGATCGCTTCCACAACTGCTCTGTTTCTTTAAGAGACCTCGGTTGTTCAGTTGGAAGATCACTGAACCATAGGAGGGTCAATAAAAGAATAAAGTCACTGGTTAGTGATTCAAGTACAAGGAACTTGATCGTAGTTCATATCTGAGTGTCCATATGCTGCTCACAGTCAGAGGGGGAGTGCCGGGCCGCGGCTGCTCGCACTAACCGGCGATGGCTTCGGGAAGACTCATCAAGCTCGTGGTGTTTGAGCTTCTGGAGTTTGCTGCCTTCTCCATCCCCACGCTCGTGATTGTGGAGCAGTTCGCCACTGCCTACCAAAGCTCAAGGAACACGGGAGAGAAAACTCACTATTGGCTGATCGTGTCCTGTTCCATTGCCTATGTGGCTTCAGTGAGTCTATTGATTTGGGTTCCCATAAAAGTTCTCTTGTACAAGAAACATCATCTTTCAAAAAAAATTAAAGGATGGTAAGTAAAAGAATTCTTTAGCAGGGAATCCCTCGGGTGCTTTCAAAGATATCTTCTCATGGACTCTGTGTAAGGACGTTAGCGTAGCAGAAATGTGCATAGTGTAAGATGAAGGAGAAGTAACAATCACTGTCTCTATAAATGTAATAATCTTATAGAATCTTCCATATTTCGTGTGGGGTTCTTTTTACTGATTGGTAATAATTAATTCCATGTGTTCATAAGATAGGCGTTAACTTGACTGCATGAAACTGTGAGTAAATGTAACACTTAATTCCTTTGTACACCAACTGGAAAAAGTTATGACAGCTAATTTATAGAAACAGTAACCACAGATTAGAGTATAGAATTCTACTTTTTAAAAAATAAGTCTTTATTTTTCAGATTATTACAGTTGTTCCTCTTTTTTTCTCCCTATAGCTTCCCTCCACCTGGTTCCCACCCCAACCTATGCCCTTCCCCCTCACTCCTCATTGTACTCATCCATAGGTGTTCAATTTTTGTCCAGTCTCTTCCCACACTCTCCAGACCCCCTTCTCCCTGAGAATTGTCAGTCCACTCTCTTTCTATGCCCCTGATTCTATTATATGCACCAGTTTATTCTGTTTGTCAGATTTTTTTCACTTGATTTTTAGATTTACTTGTTAATAGATATGTATTTATTGTCACTTAGTTGTTCATAATTTTTATCTTTACCTTTTCTTCTTCTTCCTCTTTTTAAAAAATACCCTTCAGCATTTCATATAATACTGGTTTGGCAGTGATGAACTCATTTTGCTTGCTCTTATCTGTGAAGCTCTTAATCTGACCTTCAATTCTAAATGATAACTTTGCTAGGTAGAGTAATCTTGGCTGTAGGTTCTTGGTATTCATCGCTTTGAATATTTCTTGCCATTCCCTTCAGACCTGCATAGATTCTGTTGAGAAATCAGCTGACAGTTGTATGGGTACACTCTTGTAGATAACTGTTTTTCTCTTGCTGCTTTTAATATTCTCTCTTTGTCTTTTATTCTTAGCATTTTAATTATGATGTGTCTTGGTGTGGTTCTCTTTGGATTCCTTCCTGGACTTGTAAGTCTATTTCTTTCACCAGGTTGGGGAAGTTTTCTGTCATTATTTCTTCAAATAGGTTTTTAATATCTTGCTCTCTCTCTTCTTCTGATTCCCCTATAATTTGAATGTTGATATGTTTGAAGTTGTCCCAGAGGCTCCTTATACTATCTTCATATTTTTGGATTTTTTTTGCTTTTCCAGTTGGGTGTTTTTTGCTTCTTTGTATTTCAAATCTTTGATATGATTCTTGAGATCCTCTAGTCTGTTGTTGGATCTTTATTTATTATTCTTTATTTCAGTCAGTGTATGCTTAATTTCTAATTGGTCCATTTTTATATCCTGGAAGATCTCACTAAATTTATTGAAGGTTTCTAGAAGATTCTTGAGTAACCTTATAACTGTGGTTTTGAACTCTATATCCTATAGTTTGCTTTCCTCCATTTCTTTCATTTGTGACATGTTTCTTTGTCTTCACATTTTGGCTGCTTCCCTGTGTTGATATGGTGGTTTTGTGTGCTAGGTGTCCTATAGGGCCTAGTGGCTCAGCCTCCCCAGTCATCTGAGGTGGATGTTCTTGGTACACCTCTTTGTGGGCTGTATGCACAGTCTTGTTGTAGTTAAGCCTTGATTGCTGTTGGTATCACTGGAAGGAATTGACCTCCAGACCAATTGGCTTTGAGGACCAGTTGTGTCTACCATGGGAGAACTGCTGTGTTGGAGACACCCTTATGGGGAAGGACTTGCTTCAGTGGGGCTTTGGCGCTCACTGAGTCTGCCCCCTGAGTGTGTCTCTTATGGATCTGAAGAGTTGTAATATGGTGTGGTCTCACTTTGACCACTGGATTGCACTGGTTCTTGGATCTCCAAGGAGGTGGTAAGTCAATCCCTATCTGAGGTCACCCAGCAGAAGCTACAGAGAGACCTGCAATTTCCTCCTCTTAGTTTGGGATTTGGAGGTGCCCAGATGAAGCACAGCTGTGAAGCAAGGCAGGCTGTTGATGAGCCGTAGCTTGTCTCTTGGAAGCTTTAGGGTTCTTTGACCCAGCTTCAGTTTGTAAGGTTAGGTTGCAAAAGACCAGGCAATTCACATGCAAATGCTTCTGTGCATAGCTTGGGTGGGGATGTAAATTGGGTTGGGCATGTTCTCTGGGAATCACTGGGTAAAGCAGATTGCAATGGCTGCCAGTCTACTCTGCCCAAGATAGGTCCCTGGTGTCTGTGTTCTGAGGCCCTTTGCAGGAACAATGAACGCTGTGACCACCTCTGAGAGAAAGCCACCCTTGTGTTCCGGCCTGATGCCAAACAGTCCAGTTTCTCCCTGTATAAGTTTTGGTCCCCAGAGTCTCACCTGGAACTGGAGTTCAGAGCAGTCAGGAGTTTGTATCTCCCTCTGGATTGAAAAAGACCACAGCGTACCCAGTTGCCAGCCAGTTTTCTCAAGCACATACCTCTGTACCTTGGCTCTTTTGTACCTCTGCACCTCCTACCAGTCTAGATGTACTTTTCTCTTTCCTTCTAGTTGTAGAACTTCCTCTCAGCCAGCCTTCCTGTGGTACTGAATGATATCTGTTTTTTCTCTTAGTTGTAGTTTTGATGTGGTTGTGCGAGACAGCAAGTTCATGTGTCTATCTATGCTACCACCTTGGTTCCCTCCCCAGAATTCCACTTTTGTATAAAACTGAAAGTAGCTGAAAATGGTTTGGCTCAGTGGATAGAGCGTCGGCTTGGGGACTAAGGGTCCCGGGTTCGATTCCGGTGAAGGGCATGTACCTTGGTTGTGGGCATATCCCCAGTAGGGGGTGTGCAAGAGGCAGCTGATCGATGACTCTCTCATCGATGTTTCTAACTCTGTATCTCTCTCCCTTCCTCTCCGTACAAAATCAATAAAATATATTTAAAAAAAAACAAAAAAACAAAACAAAAAACAAAACAAAACTGAAAGTAATGTGTATTTTTAAATGTTTTTAATGCCTTGTTTGCAGGTCTAAGGCATCCTTTGACCACTAACCAATTGAAATTTTTAAGCAACTGGCTTCTTTAATTAGCCTTTCAAAAATAATACTTCACTGTGCTCATAAATTCTATTACCTTGGTTGGGAGAAGTATTTAAATAATAATACAAAATAGTTTAAGTAAATTAAGATTTAATATTGATTAACTGACAGTTTAGGGAATGGCTGTACCAACTGATCCATGTGAAGGTATTGAGAACTATCTCTGATACATATATATATATATATGTATCAGAGATTGTTCTCATATATATATATATATATATATATATATATATATATATGAATGGCTGTACCAACTGATCCATGTGAAGGTATTGAGAACAATCTCTGATACATATATATATATGTATCAGAGATTGTTCATATATATATATATATATATATATATATATATATATATATATGATATTTAGATCTGATTCTTTCTCATCTGGATTATCTTTGTTTTCTTTGATAACTTAAATTTTCTTTCATTCAGACCTTTTATTTTAAAGTTAAACAGCATAAAGTACATTTGAATTTTAAGATAACCAGAGGTAGAAATGTAAAAATAATAAATACAAATATGCCTAGACATGCTGTGGAGGGTGCAGAATGGGAGAGCTGAGTGTGGTTAGTGAAGTGCTCTTTAGATATGATACTTATGTGGCCTTGAGAATCACACTTATCAGGGGCTTTCGTTCCCCATGGGCAGAGCTCCCAAGACAGGAAATAAAACATTTGGTTGACTGCTTTTATCAGTGGCATTCAAGGTCAGAAAGAATAAGGGAAAAGTTGCATGAGGTAGAGGAAATAGCACAGAATCAGGCAGATCTAGACTCTCAAATGTGAATTTGGCTATTTTAATATATATGGCAATATAGAGTGTGTCGTGTACCTTATTTGCTAGCTGAAGGTGATGCAAACCTTGACCCAAAGCCTAGATCATCTGAGGAGTGGATTTGAGTTGAGCTGGGCCCTCCATTCCTCATACCCCTGGGAGTTGCTGTGACTGTCTAAGACTCTGGCTGGGCCAGGATGATTTGAGGGCATGGAGGAAGGTCCAAGTGACCGCGGGAGTAAATCAATGGGGAGCTGCCCCGTGGCAGCCCAGGAAGAGGCTCTTTCATTTGATGTTTGTTTGTTTGTTTGTTTGTTTGTTTGTTTTACATGGCTCAAATTCCTAGGGCCCCAAGGTCTTTATATAATTTAGGCAGCAAAGCTTCCCGTATCACATATCATCATCATCATCATCGCCATCATCATTAAGCTGTAATTTCTTCTTTAGTGCTCTCTTATGTGCTAAGAGTCTTATATATGAATTTAATTTCATTCTGTAACACCTCATGCAAGAAGAAATTTATGATTAGAGAGGTATGCAACTTTCCCAGTCAGCTAGTGAATGGAAGGGCCAGACTTTGGACCTGGGTCCTTCTGATTCCATGATTGGCACTCCTAACCTCTACCCCGAACTACCTTTTTAAGTTCCCGGTTTCCTGAGGCAGTGAGTGTGAGGAAGAGAGTAGGTTTCATTCCTACTCCCCAGTGAACATGTTTCTTTTGTACGTCTGCTTTAGGCCATCCTCCTCTGTTAAGGTGTATTGGGCTGTCACAACAATGATATCTTTCAGGAATTTCTTTTGGAAAATACTCTTTTCTTCCTGTTTGTGGGTGTGGCTGGCTACAAGTGTTTTAAAAAGCCCTAAATATGTGACAGGCTATCTATAATTTCAGTGAGACTGTAAAACTATTTCCTCATGGCCTCATGCTTGAGCACTATCATATTATTATCTCTTTCTGGCATAGAAAAGAAGAAATAGCTGCTGAGCAGTATTCTAGGAGTTTCATACATTCTGTACTATTAAATTTGAACTTTGCGACAACTCAGGGAGATATGAGCTAGTGTTTTAATTTCATAGATGAAGAATAGAAACTCAAAGAAATGATTAACTT